TACGCACTGTCGCCGTGCATCTACACCTAAGGCAAGCAGAAGGGAACGATAATGTGATGCATCCGACGTTCGAAGGCACAGCTATTCTGCGCGACCATGCAAACACCATGTGTATAAATGCAAACGCCTAATACAGTGGCGCGGCCGACGATGTAGAAAATATTCCAAAAATCCATCTACCGGTTCACAGGTGCGCGCGAAGCATAGCAGTTCAATGCAAACTCGTCATGCAGCCGGAGAGATTCCCAAATGCAGAGCCCCCATTTCACGCCTGGCTGCGTTCCGACGGAAAGAAACGGCTTACTGACTGCATTCCATCCCGTCATTGTCTCTCCATCACTGCTATATCCCCTGACGCGCGGAGCAAAAGCCGCCAAGGCGTGGTTAGTGCCCTGACCACTAAAGTGACACGATTGGCAAAGGCACAGATGAAGATGCGCGTCGAATCTTCGCAGCTCAGATAACGCAACTGCGTTGCTGCTGGCCAAGGAGTGCCTTTACCCCACCTCGGGTAACGTTCCTCCATGCGGCTGCAACGAACGCGAGAAATGCGCCCATATGCTGCAATAAAGCAATCCACCTGTAACCTGCACAAAACCCTCTCGCAGATGCGGATGTCACGACAGAATCCCGTTGATGCAATGCATCCCGCAGCGCTACATAACTCGCTAAACAAAAACGCGCCTGCACGCAACCACTCCGCCGCTAAACCCACGCATTCACTTCACGTACACTCTTCGCCGAAACACAACAAAACTCACTGCACATTTCACGCAACGCAACGCAGATACCTACCGACGCATCAAGCTGCACACACTCAGTATGATGCCCGTGCAGGTCACACAAACCCAGCGACAATCAAGCATCCAGCAAAAGGGCTTCACTCAAACGGAGTGGATCATGCGTCACCGTGGCGGTATCATCCGGCGACATCGACATGCTTGCTGCACGCCGTTGCCTCGTGATTCAACGGAAATAAAAATAGAGACTACTGACGAGATACAGGTGATCGCTGCATTCAGTCGCCCTCCCTGTGCCTCGCACTCAAGTCGCTGAAGGCACGAAAACTCAGCCACTGTTCTTCTGCACACAACGTACGCAACATAATCTGCATCATACTGTAGGGCTGCAGTCCCAGACACTTGACACAGCTAGTCAAGAGTGTTTCGCGTGCGCCGGAGCGATGCCATTAGATAGAGCGTATTTCACGGCCATCGCCGCCCAACTAGTCACGTCCATACGCACAGTCACTGTGCACCTACACCTCAGGCAAGCGGAAGGACACGAGGATGCGATGCATCCACCGTTTGTGGGCACAGTTATTCTGCGCGGCCAAACCGACACAATCTGTCGAAACGCGAAAACCAAACACATTGGCGCTGCTAAAGGTGTAGAAGATATTCCACAAATCCATCTACTACTTCACAGGTGCCTGGTAACCATAGCAGTTCAATGCAAACTCGTCATGCAGCTGGGGGGATTATTAAATGCAGAGCCCCCATTTCACGCCTGCCTGCGTTCCAACGGGAACGAACGACCTACCGTCTGCATTGCATTGCGTCATTGCCACTCAATCGCTTCTTTTTGCCCCTGCGCAACGGAGCAAAAACAATCAAGGCGTGGTTAGTGCCCTCCGCCACTGAAGTGGCACGATTGGCAAAGGCAAAGAGGAAGATACGAGTCAAATGTTCGGATGCCAAGAGAAGCAATTTCGTCGTTGCTGGCCAAGGAAGCTCTTCACGCCGGCTCGAGTAGCACGCGTCCATGAGCCTGCACCAAACGCGATGTCATCCAGAAATATCGCCCTTTGGTGCATACCTGACATGAGCGTCCGCTGGGCCGCCGGAGCCCGCTCCTGCAAAGACAGCGTTCAGAGCAAGGCCCCTGCCGCGGTACGTCAAACTTCATCATTGCAATGCAGATTGTACAGAATACGAACCACTACCCATTTTCTGTACGCAACCCGTACCAGATAATCCACTACAAAATTCGCATCTACTCGTGCTTGCACAGCAACGCAATTGATTTCCACCATAAGCACTCGGTGCAACGAATATCGCAACCATCGACCCGACCCTAAACCGGCTGGAGAAGATACCTTCTGTCCACGAACGTGTTGCGCAACTAAGCTAAAACCTTTACGTTCGGCATTTTTGCCCTGCTGATTGCTGGATGAAAGTGTCAACGCACTAGCTGGCAATACAAATGTGACTCGTGAACAGTTTGCTAAACAAGGTGCGGAGACACCGAACAGGAAACCAGTCAATGAGTGGATGCATGGCATTCACAGAGGAATGACGCTCGCACAACCCAAAAGCATGCATCCAGAAGAAGTCGCAGCGGGAACAGTTGATGCTGTTTCTCCCAAATAAGGGAAAATGCTACAAAACACCGCAAATTCCCAAGGCCATGGCAGTGCAAACTTTACCTACGCCGCAGGTGCAGTGCACAACAAAGGCCCTTCACAAAGCGCACTCCCACTGCCTTCCACTGCCACTATTTATCTTCTCTCCAATTTGCAGGAATGGCAACGCAGAACGTCGCCTGTCACCGCGCACGGACAGCCACCACGACATATTTGCCGCAATGCACCGCGAGTCGCATTGCTCCACATATCGCTTCAACATTGCAGTGCCCCCCAGTTACAGGTCAAGAAGCTGGACAGCATCCACCACTTTTTGTGACGTTCGCTGATGTGGCTATTTTGCGTTCCTAAAACAACGCACGTGCTTGAGCTGCAAACATATGCCGGCAATTTCGCAAACAAGGCTGCACGCGCATTGAAGAGTCTTGTGATTGCCGTGAAAAGCCCTATTGAAACATTTGGAACTGCCACGAGGAGCTGTTGAAGGCATACCTGTATGGTGGCCAAAAGGAAACGTAGTACCTACCCGTTTTACGCTAAATATCATCGATCCAGAACTCACAGAATCTGAAGCACCGTTTTGGCTACCCCCAGCTCATGCAAGAGGCAACACATAAAATCACAAACCTAGAGCCATCTAGAGGCCACTATCCATGCATGGTATACGCCTTAGGATGATACAAAAGCCGAGAAGCGCTAAAGATTACTACGAACGCTCGTCCGCAGTAAAGTAAAGCTTCCATTCATGCGTGAGTCGCCATCCTCCTTTGTATCTCTGTTCTGCGGTGACACCGACACACTATCTGAGGGAGTAAGCAAATATTGGTACATCGCAATTCCATGAAGGGCCGTAAAACCGATAATGTGCACCGCCGGTGCACAAGACTGTACAATTGACCGAGTTTCAACTGCTTGCGAGAAATATTCACGCTACTACGTTACGCGCATAGACAGTGCAGGGGCTCAGCAATAGATCACAAAGCAAAGGGAACTCGAACACTACTTATGCTCGACAAAAACCGCAAAAGACAGCTTCTTTCATCAGTTTTCAGCCCTCTACAGATGTCCGTTACTCATACCCACGTACGGGCACAAGGCCGGGTCCAGATTAATGGAACGCGCGTCATATTTCTGCGCATCACCACAGAATAGGGGCCATTTGCCTTTGTAATTGTGTCCTGCGACAAAATCGACGTACTTCCTGGCCCTGGGAGGATCNATAGGGGCCATTTGCCTTTGTAATTGTGTCCTGCGACAAAATCGACGTACTTCCTGGCCCTGGGAGGATCATGCGTGGCAAAGTGAACAAAGCGATGGAACTGCAGCATTGCGGCTTGCATCTAATTTTAAAGTAGAACTGTGTGGTATATCCGTAAAGCAATCGTTCGATGGTGCATTTCAACGCTCATGCGAATCTCCCATGTCACTCGTGGGACAAGGCGTACCATGGGCATTTAAGGCAAGCACGATGCGGCAGTACACCAGACGCAATATTTTTCTAGGGTACGAAACGAAGCACTGCCCCTGCATAATTTCATGGCGCGTGCTAGCCACTCCACGCTGCACGTTTACACTCATTCAGAGGCTACCGACATTCAGGATGCATGCATCTGCTCCACTGGGGATTAATGCAGAAGCACTGAACAGCACGACACGGCACGCAGTGCCAAAGATGCCGCTGCAAGGCACGGGTGCCAGCGCAGATCCGTCATAGAGCTGGAGTAACGCACAAATGGAATGCAGCTGTCCTCTCCGTGGCAATGGCGTCTGAAAGAAGCAACCCACGGTCTAAAGATGCCAACGCCATTCCTGGAACCTTGTAGGCGATCGCAGATGCATCATGCGGGTACTAATTTGTTATGTGAATGAAAGAAACTTCAGATCGATGACTCACCTTTCCCATACATACACCTGAGCTGCAACCCAAAAAACTATCCATCAATTAACCCCTCATGAGTAAATGTCTCATTAGTCTGCCCCTAACATGGAGAGCGCTGTGGCACAGAAAACGTTTATAGAACCATGGTAGCTGATGCACTTTCCTTGTGTAGACTGCAGGGCACGGGTGCATATTGCTTCACAGGACGTCGAATTGGAATACGTTTACAATCATTTACCAGTCGTTAGAAGAAAACTCCACCTATAGCGGCAGGTGCACGGTTGTGGACGAGATGATGTGATGATTCAAACGCTGCTAGAAAGCTTCAGTTACAAGTAAAAACTGGCAGCCACAGTTTATGCTGCATTAGCCGATGTAGCTACGGTGTCCGAGTATAAGAATGCAGTTGCCCTACCCACATGGACCTGTTTTCACTGCTTGCACAGAGGAATGCATTAGCAGCGAAGACTTCCGCAGGATCCGCAGTGTTAGCCCTTGAAGAAAGCATCGCCTCCTCTCAAAAGCGGGTTGCGAGTGCCGGTATAGGTCCACAGATATCAAAGGTGTAGCAATGTTGTTTAAGCACATCCCATTTTCATCGCAAACACAAGCCTAAGAACACGCAACCTGAACCACACAAACTCTCCCCCCCATATATCACGTGCGAAACCCAACCCCACGCAGCAACCGTACAAGCTTTACGAACCACAATCACTCACTGCAGAGCCTTCTGAACCACCGTAGGTCTGGAGGNCAATGACCCTGTGGACTTGCCCCCTTCTGCAGAAAATGGGCATTCACAGAGCCATCCGACGAAGAACGCTACGGCGTTTATGGCATACTGTTCAACGTATCATGGTACACTTCGAACCAGGTTCCAGCCTATGATGACGGGTTTAACGTCCTTGCACTCACAGTCTATGTGCCACTCGCCGAAGTTGCTGGTCTGCATGATGGACGCCTCTCCCCCGTGCCAAACCAGAAAGCAATCCTCTTTGACGCCAAGTATGCTAGTAATTAGAGACGAGAGCTGCTGCAGCCTAATCTGAACCGCAGGATGTGCCTACTTATTCATAACCTGGAAAGCTAACAAAACGTGCGGCATTGACCACTAAAGTCAGAAAAGGCCTCCAAGTGTGTAAAACCAACATTTGCATCGATGTAGGCAAACTGGAGCGTTGATTCACTAGCAGCAGTTCACCCAAGATACTCCAACGCAGCAAGCTATACTACAGCACAGATGGCTGAACGCATGTCGCCGAGAATGCATAAGAACAACCGACGATATATGCACCCAGATACTTGGCAGTGCAGCAAGCNACGCTCCACACATTACTGCAAAGCCCCCTACACAGCAACGCAGGCCAGAACAAACTAACCGTGCACCTAGACATGAATCCGAACGCCGTTTCCTGGGCCCAGACTCAGCTTTGTTCCTCCTTAACAAAATCGTACTCGCTGGAGGTGGAAAACGCATTTCCATTTGCCCCTCAAGAAGGATGATGACTCACAACACAGACACCCAAGTGACACCTAGGTGCATCTCTGTGCAAAAACGACGAGCTAGTACCGTCACGCATGAGACTCAAAGCCTCTCCGGGTTCACGACACCTACAGAAAAGATATTTGATTCTCGCTAAACAGCGGAAACGACGTTGCAGGGTCGAAAAGACATGAAGACCACTTCAACTCAAACTTTCCACGTTTGCCGCGGACTGCACAGGCGGGACTCGCTCGCCCGCAGCGTTCCCACAGTACCTCGCATACCTGCACTGGTCATTCCGCAGGTACTACTACCACCGTATATTCACCGCCATGCAACACGACTCCAAATGCTTCACTTGTTTGCTCAAAAATGCTTTAAACGGAAGCAGGTGAGCATGGAGCTAATTTGGGTCTCCTTGTTGTTCTACCGTTCTCTGATGCGGTCGCGTTGCGTGCCCACACCAGCAGAACGAAATCCCTTTCTATTATTCTGAAACGCAAATCAGAAAGCGTCAAAAGTGATGGAAGAGGCAATGTTACCCAACGCAAAACAACAGCGGGGCGGCCGTGAGTCTGCGCAGCAGTCACCATCGCTTGCAGCATGCAAACTGAACCACCGGTTTTCGCCCACTCAGAAGAAGTGTGAGTGGGGTGCTCAAGCGTTTGGCGTTACCGCACCATCCTGCACGGCACACCACAAGGCGAAACAAATGTATAGGAGCCATCAAAAATACTTTCACAATCATAGTTGGCGGCACACCAAACAGTTCGACGCTCCGCACATTGCTAAAAATGCCCCACAACGCCACTTCTGGTCATAGCAAAATCATCCACCTAGGCCTGGGCCTAAGCGTATTTTCGTGGGAGCGCACGCAGCGTTGTGTCGCCCCAGCGCTAACACACTCGCTGGACGTGGAAAATGCATTCTTCCTTGCTTTTTAGGTTGATTCTGACTGTCAAAAGAGGCACCCAAGTGACTCCAAGGTGCAGCTCTGTGCAAAAACAACCAGCTCGTGTCCTCATGTGTGCGGCAAATA